ATTTTTTATATTAAAATTTTAAACATAAAATTTAAAGTTATTTATTTTGAGAATTTTCAATAAAATTTTAATTTTTTACTTAATAAAATTAATAAAGAGTATCTTAAACTACATTATATTTTTTATAATATAAGTAAATTATAAAAATCAATATTTAAAATTTTATTGAAATTTTTTAAAAACTTATTAAAATTTGAAATATGTAGACAAATTTGTCTGCATTACAATTTAAAAGATAAAATTAAAAATACTATTTTCACTATATATATATATTGATTTATAATATTTACAAGTAGCCTTTTTATTGTTTTTAAAATTTGAACTTTTTATAAAATGTTTTTATACTTTGTTTCTAGAAATTATTGAAGTAATTAAAATAGTTTCTAATAAATTGCTTATATCAATATTGTTATTATCATTATTATTATGGTTTGTTAAACTATTACTTTCTTTATATAAGTATTGTATATTATTAAATAAGTTTTTATATTCCATTTTTTAAAAATATTTAAATTATTAAAAAACAAGTTATATTTATCAGAAAATTTTTTAAAATAATAAATTCCAGAAATTTTTATTTTACAAAAATTTAAAAATCTTCGAAATAATAATAATTTTTTTTTTTTTTAATCTGCAATCAAACTGGTGTTATATATTTATTAAATCATAAAGAACCATTACATATACAAGAATATATGCAACGTACAAATTTCCTTGATCCAGTTTACTCGTCTTAAGCCTAAGTCTCTAAATAGGATTTATGAAAGTGATATATTGCTAGCCTGATAGTTAGGATTAAGATTCAGTTATATTATAAGAATTACAGCTTGTAGATTACCTCTATAGTCACAAACATAAATCCAAATTGTGTTGTTTTCCTTTTGCAGAAACTATGCAAAGAGCAAGAGATAAAAAAAGAAATAAGAGTAGAAAAAACAATACAAATGTATACAAATAAAATAATATATAAAAAAAGAAATAAAAGCTATCATTTATTTTATCTATCATTGAAATGGTATCTCAATGGACAAAAACCAAACCTCTCATGAATACTCACTTGTTACTATCTATAGTTAGGGCTCCTAATAATACCACTTCAATATTAGTTCGATACTTAAATTTATTATAAAATTATATGAATAGGTCACAACCTATATATTAAATTTACTATAGATCGATGTCATTTCGATACCAGTTTAATATTAATTTGGTACTTTTCGGAGCTCTACCTGTGGTCAGTTAGACTGTTTAATTTCTATCGAAGCAGGCGATATCCAAGAACATTTAAAGGTACTTCCTAGAAAGTATTTCTTGAAACTTTATACTTGAAGACTTTTAATCAGAAAGGATATTGGTTTTCTATTATTGATTTTTCTCTCAAGTCATGTCTTTCTGGAATTATTGCTTCATTCAACCAGTGGATAGTTTCAAGATTCTTTTCTCCAATCATTTTTAGAATAGATATCAATGTTTCAACTTGTTGCCAAATTGGGATAGAATTTGAATCTTGTAATTACTTTCAGTTATTTAGGTAGAATAGAAAAAGAAAAGAAGCAAATAAAAGTGAAAATAAAAAGAGGATTGTTCCTCCTTCACTCATAACTTCAACCTTCACCCAGAACTTTTTTACTATTCCTTCGACTAAAAACCATCCAACTCTTTCTGGAACCAATTATATTATCAATTTGATATTATATAACTTGGAATATGTAAGAGAACATGTCTTGTTTACTTTTTTTGTGGCTGACGTAATCAACCAATCTGTGACCTTGACCAATCATCTTGCAGGAAAGTCCAGTGTAACCAAAAATTCAGGGTCAAATTGAGGTAGGCAAAATTCTTCAGAAAAATCAGAAAAAAGGAAACATGCTTGAGAGAAAAGAAGTGAAAAGCCAAAGAAATGATATAAAAGCTAAAGGCTTTTTTTTCTTTATTTTTCTAGGCTTTTGAACCTTCTGGGAATCTTTGGAAGGTACCTTTTCTTGTCAGTTTTCTTCCTAGAAAGGTGTTCTTGGTATAAATATTTTGGATATATTTCTTGTATTTAATTGCAAAAATATGCAAGAAAGTGTTTGAAAAAAAAAAGAAAAACAAGTAGTAGTTGCTGTTCACTTTGCTAGTTAGGGAACCAGTATTGTTAAGGAAAGTATATAGACTTTATTATCAAAAAGATATAAAATCTTTTGAGAATATCTGTTTTTTGAATTGGTAAATAGATTAACAAAAAGAGTTTTAAATATTTGCTTATTTTCTTTTTTCACTTTTATATTTTCTTAAATTTTATTTTATATAACTCTGAGTAAGTATTTATAACTATTTGACACTATCTTAAATATATATTAGTTTTAATATTTATTTTTTATATTTTTTAGATAGTTTCTATAAGCAAGTCAACATTAGACTTATTAGCTTAACAAGTTATATAAGAGATGTTGTTGCTTTCTTTATATATAAATTTTAAATAATTTTATTTTATTTTTATTTTATTTTTTTTTTAAACTAGCTTAACCTTGCTTAGCAAACTTTATTAAAGTTAATATTTACATATATTTGTATACATTTCTGTATATAAATTATGCTATAACATTAATTGATGAGTGTATGCTAAACTATATCAAGGTTTTCTAGATATCAGCTGTTGCTATTAACTTTTCCTAATGGATAGAAATTGAAACTAATGTGCTAAGGCATCGCTATTGTCAATATCACTAGTATATAAATAAAAAAATTTGTTTTTTGTCATTTTGTTTATGTTTTTAATCCATCTTTCCAGCAATTTCCTCCCCAGGTTCTTTTTCCTATTTGCTATTATTTCTTCTTTTTCCTTGTCTCTTTTGATTTCTGTTTGATATGATCTGTGTCTTCACTTTTTTTTGTCCGCTCTGCTGATATTGTTTATTTCTTCCTATTTTGTGATTTCTTCATATCTTTTTTTCCATAGCTTGTTGATTACTTTTATTGTTCTCTCAATAATTCTTTTGCATACTTCTTTTGTTTTTTCCCTTGCAAACTGATATATATATTGGATTATCTCTTTGGTCAGAATTTCCCTTATTATATAGTTTCTTGTGTACTCTGAGTTCATGATTAGTGGCATTTTCAATTTTGAGTCTTTTTTCTCTTTTCTTTTATTGCAATTTCTTTGACACTCTTTGGTTTTTTCTTTTATTATCTTTTTGTATTCATCTGTTATCTTGTATTGCCAATGTTTGTATATTAAGTGCTCTAGGCTTTCTCTTTCCTTGTATCTTAGTCATTTGTTTGATTTGTAAATATCTGATCTTCTTTCTGCTAGCCTATCAAGTGTAAGGAGTCCATTATTTAATAATCTATATCTGATTCTTCTATATGTATGATATTCTTGGCTTGTATACATTTTAGTTATTTTGGATTGGTGTTACGCTTCCCAGGTAAAGTGTCAGTCTATTTGTAGCTTGTCTTTATACTCAATCTATACTCTGTTTCTTCTCTGTATTATCCAGTTTGTTATCCATTTGATGTTTTGCATATTTTTCAGAAATTTTTTGATATTTGTGTCTAGTTAATATCTTCTCCAATTTAGTATTCCCATGCTGCTGCTTTTGGATTAGTTGTTATAATTGCTTCATCTCCTTTGTTAACTTCTTCTTTTGTCAGTTAATTTGCCTCTTCATTTTTCTCTTCTTTCTAGTGTACTTTGACTTTAATGAATGTTGTTGGTCCTTGTCTTTCTTTGATGATTCTTTTAATTTTAATCAATTTTATAATTAATAAAGTGATGATATTTACTTACTTTAAAAATATATATATATAAATTACTTATTTAAAAAAATATATATCATGTATTAAATATAAATAACTTAATAAATAAACTTGTATATATAATATCTTTTATTCAAATAATAATAATAATAATAATAATAATAATTTAATTTAAATTTATAATTTATAAAATATTTTATAAATAATAATTTTATAAATGTTAAAAAAATTTTGGTTCTATTTAATAAGCAATTATATATATATTTTTAGAAATTATATATTATCATTAATGAATATAATAAGTTAAATTAAATTATTATTTTTAGTTACAAATGCAGTATAATAAAAAAAATTTTTTTTTAAAAAAATATTTATTCGAACCGACACATAAACTCACGTGCTAATCTCATTAAAATCATGTGCTAATCTCATTAAAATCATGTGTGTTTAAGTTCACATATTTTTCCGCCTTGTGAAGCTTTTATCACGTGCGTTGGTCGCGTAATCTCGACATTGAGGCTTTCTTATTCTTATGGAGACATCGTAATACGGAATTCTATTCATGTATGGCGTACAGCCATCGAATTACGTATTAGTTAATTAATTCACATAAGCAAAAGGTATAAGAATATTTTTCGGATGCTATTCAATTTCCTAATTCTTATCGTTTATATGATTTAAACATAACGTTCAAAAATCCGTTTTTCAATTCACACCTTTATGAAGCTTAGGAAGAAATACCCAAGCCTAACATTGTTCTTCTTTACCACAACAGCAACCCACAAGCAGCTGAAAGTGCATCTCAGAGGGTGATAATAATAGTCTAGTCATGGGATTTTGACGTATGTACGCACATTTGGGAAGTGTGCTCTTTCGGGACAACCAATGCTGCGCCACGAGGTATTAATGATCAAGGTCAATCGGTTACACGGCACTCGTGAAAATGAAAGCAAAGCAGAACGTGCATCATCTTGAGCGCGTTTTTTTTATGCAAAAGTTCCCACAAAGAATTTTGGACAAATTTCGATAAAATTACTTACCCGCATTTACCTGTAATTTACCATGGGTTTTTCAGCCACTTTTCCAATTATTTAAGAAAATTTCCAGTATTTCTGCACCTATCAACTTTTTTTTTTTTTTGGCCTATATTATCAAAAAAAGCACCCCGTCGCCCTGTGCCCTAAATTTATTAGACAAAGAACGCCTACAAAAAGCTTACAACCAACAGACCAACTAAAAAACGAGGTGAAATTACTACTATGTCAGCTCGAGATGCCCAGTATGCGTATTCATACGCTACACCAAAAAATCACCAGCAACTTCACCACCAGGCAGCTCAGACGTCGCTACACCACCAGTACACTCAACAAACAAATCAGTTCACGACCACTCAAGACGGCTTACTAACTCAGACCACCTCTGGAACTCCGAATCCTCAATACACGTCTCCGCACAACACCCCGATTGCGCCGAATACACCTGGAACGCAAACTCGTCGTTTCAAGACACCCCAGCACACTTCAATCGCACCGCAAATACCATGTACAACGAACCGACAATACACGACGTCACAACACCCGTCGATCGCATCGCCAGCTTTAGACCATCCGACTTCACCCTTAAACTCGACGCAATGTATATCCGCACCTAACGGTATAACTTCCTTGAATTCTATGTCCACACCACCGTCGATTCCCACGGGGATATCCAGCACTGGTTCGGGAACAACCATGGTTACGAATTTTGAATTACAAGACGTTATCGCGCAATTTCAAACTCAGCCTGAACTTCTTAAACTGATCCTTACCTCAAAGGTCGAGGAGGACAAGAGGAAAGCTGAAGAAGCAAAGTTGCGCGTTAGAGAATTAGATTTAATGCTCTCGGAACGTAACCGACAGAGAAAACATATTGAAGAGATGGAAAATTCAAAACATAATGGGGATGAACAAGCTAATAATGACATGGATTATGAGAATGGTTGGAACTTTTTTCTTTCAAAGGATCATGTATAATAAGATCGGGATCGATATATATGTGACATTAATTAAAATCTTTGTTTTAACAGATCACACCATGGGAGCGTAAGTTATCACATTTTACATTGTAGCGATTCATTAGTGACGATCATAACTTTATATATTTTTATTTCTAAATCTAGTTAGTAATTTTTTCGCATACATTTAGTTTTTCTGTGTCAGACGGCTCTTTGAATTACGCGTCGTTTAATAATAGTTTAACATCATCTGTTCAAAATCTCACAAACAACTCTTCTTCTAATACTCCTATAATATCATCAACTTCTCGACCTAAACCAACGCCTCACCTCAAACCCACACCTAAAGGTAGTCCACCGACATCACAACTTCAGTTGAATTCGCAAAATCTGCTAATGACGCAGAGTCAAGCATCATATGATACGGAAGTTGGATTAAATGAAGAAGGCAATAATACACCGAACATACGTAAACGTAAACGCCGCGAAATGCTTCCGGTAACAATGATAATTGAAACCAAGGAGTATCCTTATGTGGATGACTACTTGTGGAAAAATAATGGGAACACTACGCAGAGGAAGACGGGAAATAAGAGTGTCTATTTCAAATGTTCCAACAGTAACAAGGGTTGTCCCGTTAATAAAACTGTGACGGAAAAGGATGGTGGTTGGACCATCAAATATCGAGGTCATCATCTGGAAGAATGCGGTAAGATCAAGCGGATTGTTCAAAATTAGCAATAGATCTATTTTGAATTATATGCAAGACTCGTTGATCATCAATTCAATTGATATACATACATTATTATACGCTTCTTCCTCTTCTTTTTTTCACATCACTTTGTAAATTCAACCTCTCTTCTCTAATCGTCTTCCTTTGTATAAATTTTAACAAACATTTTTCATCTTTGGTTTGATGATTCCATGAACTTATAATTACCACCTAAAAATGGGGTTTGAGTGTGTGCACTTGAAGAGGTGCACACAGGAAAGACCTTTATCATAAAGCAAGTGGGACTATAATCATTGTTAATAGTAGAGTCTTGGAGGATGTAAGGTTCCTATTCTCGGATATTTTCGGCTGTCAAAATGGGTGTCACATCCACCACTTCTTTCGTTCTTTACTTAAAGAAAATTGACTTGATAAATATGCATTGAGATTTCTCTGATCATGCACCAACCGAAACATTACTATACCATTGCAATTCATGAATTAATGATTTTGAGATCGAGAAATGCTATACATACAGTACACAAGGGAACCTGATTCTCAAGATAGTGTGAGACATAATATACCGTAATATATTATTGTTATTAAGGAGAAAATTAAGTTATCCCTTTGGCTTCCGTATTATCATCATTAAATCACGTGTAAAGGTCAACATAAAAAAAAGAAATTTTGTGAAACAAATATCTGTGGGTGATTGATTTAAAAAGAATCCAAGAGCTTGAAGTATTCCCAATAATCACTGACTCAATTAAATAGAACATTCAAAATTATCACCATTTGGGAAGAACTACCAAATTTAGGAATAAATTTACACGCCATATTTACAACAAATCATTATTATTATAAACAAATTTAAATTAGGTTTTCAGTAAGAAGCAAAAAAAAGTCAGATCTACAGCATTGATAAACAAAACTCATCAGATTCTTATAAACTTTATTTTATTAAATGCATGACCAAATTTTATTTTGATTCTTCAATCAATTTTTGCCAAATTTGAAACCACGTTTCATCATAAAGTTTGCACTTCTTTAACTTTATTTAATAATTTATCATAAAAATCTACAAGTTTATAAGTCAATCAGAGATGCTTTTTCTCTAAATAATTTTTCTGCGTCAACCCACACTCTTGCAGAATCACGCTCAGATAATTGAAGCAAGCTTGGTAGCAAATCTCGAGAAAATTGTTCGCTACTTTCTCTAGGCAATAAAGTCGGCAGATGATCGATAGAGATAACTTCGAGAGGATGAGGATTCCTGTGAATCAAATGAAACGTGTTCATTTTTTATCTTTCTAAATTTTATTGCAATACAAACTCATAGATGATATGCTTACTTCGTTTCTACCGAAACGGTAGGATTACCGAAAGTGGTGTTGACAGTATAAATTGGAAGTGGATTGTTGGGATTGGTGGTATCACAACTCACATCCACAACAACCGAAAGTTGTCGTGGTTTATCCAGAAACTCTTTCGTGATAAACGGAGGTATTTTTTGATTGAGGTAAATGCAATTCACAAAAACGTCGGATTCCAGGATTTCAGGAAATGGTCCTCCACGCTTGGTTTCCTCGATATCCCACTTAATAATGTTTTCTCTAAATTTATTAATAAACAATGAAATGAACGCGTGATCATAAGATGGTTTATTCTCTTTCCTTCGCTTACTCAGGAATTCCCGCTTTAGACGCAAAATCGGTTGCACCTCTACCACATCTACCTAATGCACCCATGACCATCACGCGTGGTGACCTCTGATTAAGTTTGACTAATTTGTTTAAGCAAGGATTAATAGTAAAAAGCATGCCTTATTAAATTGATGCAAACAAAAGTATACTTACTTGCACTTTCTAATCTACTTTTTATATGGCTTATCAATCCATTTTCGTTTGGGTAAGGCAATACTTCGGGATATTTTTGTTTCGGATCAAGCCGTTGTTGAGCCCATACATCGAGTCCTAAAGCTGTGCCTGAGAAACCGGCATGATAGCCAAACGCAGCGACTCGGCGATCTGATTGCGTGTCAGAAGTATTATTAACTTTGTTCATGAGAACGCAAATAAACGATCGAGCAAAACGACTTTTTACTTTTTTCATCAGTCAAAAATTCCATATCAAGAATTATTCCATTGCCTTTAACAAATCTTCTAATGATCTCCTTCCAACCGTCTTGATTTTTATAACAATGTGCAAAGAAAATATGTGAATGTGATAATGGTGAATCGTCATTCTCGGGAAGCTCCTTTAGACCAACGATATAAGCCTCCAGTGGTGCAGTTCTCCAAGTTCCCATGGGAACCATAACACATCCCACTCTTTTTTTTTAATAATTATTATTATAAAAAAGTTAAATATGCAGTAGGCTTCATGAAGAACACATTCACTTAAAATATGCAAGTTTGATAAACAATTACTTTTCGTATTCTTCGTCATCAAATATCCGTTCTTTAGACTTTTCAACGGTGATTTGAAAACCTTATGTTTAAAAAAAAAAATAGTGAAATAAATATCTAAAGGTACATAAACAAAAACCTTTAATGAAGTAATTACCATGTTGGAACAAAGTTTGACATGTAGAAGGCGTCAAAGCTGCACGATGCTCTTTCGGCTTAGTTTCAGCTCGAAGCCACAAATGCACCATTTCCGCTCTATCCAACGAAGATGAATCATGTTAGATTATCAAGACTGCAAACTAAATTCTCCTGTGCAACATAAAATCCGCAGTGAAAATATCCAGTCAACGCAACCAATCAGAGAAATAAATCTTTTTCTTAATTAAAAAATAAAAAATATATTTTTTATATAGAATCAAATTTTTAAAATAAGATATTGTATATACAGTAGCTATATATATTGGTTTGTCAACATATATAAATTTTTAAAACAAGAAAAAAAAATGTACATACCGTATATAGATATATAATTATAAGTTTTAGAAGTATAAAATATACAGTATAATAAAAAGAAAAAAAAGTATAAATAAAAATAAATAATAAAATAATATAAAATTTGATTTAATAATCAGTTTAAATGTTTTTTCAATGTATAATAAGTTTATTGTATCAGTTTTGACAGAGATAACTTTTCATCTTAAAGAAGAGAAACTAGTAAACAACCAGAAGTCTTCTCTAAAATAGAGTTTTTATTTTTAATAATGGTAAAAAAAAAAGAAAAAGTTTTTTTGAAGAAAAATTAACTTGACAAGTTCTCTCTTTCTTATCTTGTTAAAATTTCTTAAAAAAGAAGTTTTTCAAAAAATTAAAGGAAACAGAAAAGAGTTTTTTTCAAGAAGAAAATTTGTTTATTTAATAAAATGTAAATATTAATAGAAAGTAAAAATAAGGAGAACTTCAAGGAAAGTTTATAAAAAAACAATTGCTATAGATCTTTTCTTATACAATTAAAAAAAAAAACAAGTTCCTCAAACTTGTTTTTTCTTGACCAGAGGTTTTATTCTGATGCACCAGTATAATTTTTTAGTTTTTTTATAGTTCTTATAGTAAAAATAAAAGAAATGTAGAGAACTTTTGAATATTAAAAGATAAAAAAAAATATTCATTTTTTTAAGTTTGAAAAAAATTACTTAAAAGAAAATTTTTAAAAAAAATGTTGTATATAGGAAAATAATAAAAATTTTTTTATATTTATATATAAAGATCTATAGATTTATAATATAGTAAATAGTGCTTTCAAATCTTCAAATATATATTTCTAGTTTAATATTTACAAGAAACAAAAATATATTTACCTTTATATGTGAATTTACTGAATATCATATATATAACATATTTAATAATCCTTAATTATATACAAATTCAGTTAAACTATATAAAAATATAACTTTTAATTTTTTTGATAATTATAAACTAAAAAACAAGTTAAAGCATAGAAGGTGGTATAAGAAAAGAATATTGGTTTAACTCTGATAAAAAGGCTATATAAAACTTTAATCCAAAACTAATAATAATAAACTTTATTATATAATCCAAAAAGATTAATTCTAAGTCAATTTATTTTAATATAAAGCTTGTTAATCTATTTCAATTATAGTATTTTATAAAATTTAATTATATAACTAAAAAACAAGATATTAGTTACAAATAATAAGAATTTAAATAAAAATCATTAAGCTTAGTATATTTAGTGAGGACTATATAAAATTAAATTGAAATATAAATAAGAATACCAGTTCTATAGGTGATAAAAACAATAGTATTATATTACACTAGTGGTATATTCAAAGATTAGTAATAATAGATGATTAATATAACTGAAGTTAATTTCTATAATAACATTTTATATAATCTTTTTTTGATAAATAGCTAAAAAATATGATTGAATCAATAAAAGAATAAATTTAAAACTAATGATAGGATTTCTTTTTTTTGTATAAGCTCACCTGAATACAAACTCATTTCTAAAATATAAATTAATTAATCAGAATAATTAAATTGATTTAAGAAAAACCAGTAGTATTGAAAATAGTATTTACTATATAATATTAATTTATAACTAGAATAACAATAATCTAGTATATCACTCTACCATCGAAATTAGAAACAACAAAAAAATTCTCCAACCGGTACCTGAATACTCAAGAAGAATGATTAAAATCAACTTCTCCTCA